TTTCCGACGGCAAGTGGGGAGGCTTGCAACCAGTAGGAGGGTCTGTGACTGGCTGTCCAGCAACCGCCGACGAAAACATTCGGACAAACTCCGGTATGGGCTGGACACGGTCCAGGGTGACTTGAACAAGAGGGAGGTTGAGCAAATGATTGAGAATGGGAGTACAGGATCCGGAGCCGACCATTTCAAGCAGTGGTAGAGCGTGGTCCTCCAGGGGCGCGTGCAACCAAGTTAGATCTATGTCAACACTGCGGTCGCGGACCGATGAGTTCGATCGGGCGGGAATCTGTAATGGCAAGAAAGATCCAAATTCGACGGTAGAATGTCAGTGACCACTTTAAGTTCCAAATAAATGATAAAGGAAATTTGATTTTCGGTCTCCGTCGCTGGAGAAGAGATGAAACTTTCCAGCTCGTCACGCGCGGAAAGGTACCGACCGTGACATCAGAGGCCAGCTAGATCAGGTAGGATCACAGCCGTAACAAGTACAAGTAAGTACTGCGGGAAAAGACAATGGAAACTGGAATGGTCACGTTGACAAATTATCCGTCCACGCTCGCACCAAACAGAAACCACTCAGAAGATTTGTCGAGGACCAGATCAATTTTTTTATCATTTAGTCGGTCAGTTCAGTTAGTTACAATTAATCCATGGCCTTCGCATAACCTCTAACAGTGAGACAACGACACGTGTCCAGATGATGATGCAGACATTGACCGGGCTGGGCCAACTACTCACAGAACAGTTGGCAAAATTTGCATTCTCTAATAGTGGACTGTAGTAGGACTTTGAAACGCCAGAAGAAAAAAATACAGAGGTCTACCTAGTCATTTAACAGTCTCTTTCATTATTTGAATTCAGGACATGAAATGGACAGGAAGGAAGAAGAACCAACCTTGTCAGTGATGTCTATTGCGAAGCGGAGACGATGACCCAGCTTCTGCGCCTGGCCCCCATGAAAGATGGGATCGGGCAGAGTGACGTTGCGACGAGCAACGCGGACGGAGAGACAGCGTGGTAGCACTTCCGAGGCCAAAACGCGAGAGGGGTTGGACTTGTTGCGGGGCATGTAAAGTCCGGTTGTGGCCCAGGCCAACCGCAGAATGAGACGGTACTTGTCTGTGCGACTGTGGTAGAGAGACAATGCGTACGTACGTACGTAGAAGAGAGCAGGTTTAACTAGCGAAGGGAAGTCACGTCATGCTGAAGTGTAATGCTAAAGACATAAGTAAGTCATTCGAGAGAGAGAAGGCTCGGATAGCTGGAGTCTAACTAAAAGTAAAAGTGGTCAAAGAAACTCTCCTAACTTAACACTTTGACTGCGACTCCCGAAGTAGCCTGTAGCCTGTGACATCATTGCGTGTACCACATTCGGCGCACGTCGAGGTCAAAGTGTCAAAGGTCTGTCGCGACTGCCAAGGAAGCAGAATTCACCTGGCCACTTACATCTAGACTGTACTTGAAATAGAATACACTGAGATTCAAACTCAAACAAGGATTACGAGATTTGACTGCCCACATAACAGAAGCGTGAAAAATTTCAGGTCCCAGGATTAGGGGATGAGTTGCCAATGCAGCTAAGGGAGAAAGGTGGTCGAAATAAGACAAATTCTTAGACGAGATGGCTTTGGATTGCAGGTGAATTGTTTAGTCTTTCCAAATAAGATACGACCACCGAAACGTGGTGTTTAATGGGCTGAGGTTTCGGGATTTAATCCGGTTTAGTCTCTTTTCTGCTGTCGAGAGATCCTATGAAAGGAGTGTTCCGAGCAAAGAACCATGATAAATCCACTAGCAAAATAAAGCGTGTGATTTTGAGAAGACCGGAAGCTATAAGTAAAATGCTACTTCATTCAGTTGACCCAAATGTGAAAAATTCACGGCGCACGGTGAGCCTCGTAACTCAATGGTAGAGCGTTGGCTGCACAAAAGCTTTTCCTGCTGTGTAGGTTGGACACTCACCGAAGCCGCAAATTTTTCATAATTTGGTCAACTGAAAAAAGCCAATCTGACAAACCCCCTTAACAGTAAAATACTACTATTTCGGTGATACCTCTAAATATCG